TATATATATATATAACCGCTCATAAGATATCTGCATTTTATTATGTCCTATATTGATATCCTATTTTATACTATATTAAAAAGCAGCCAAATTAATTGATTGAGTTATAAGTAATAAGATTATATAAATTCAACTGTGAAAAGTTAATATAGTTGATAAAGTAGAAATATATATTTGTACTTCGGGGTATCAGAATACATTGCATATTAGGGTAAAGTTAATCTTGAATTAAAAACCATAGATTAAAGTGAGAATTCTTTTTTATGCAGCATGGTTATCCATCGAGACGAAGATCCCTGGTTGGAGATGCTAAGTTTGAAACAGTCAAAAATAAAGAGGCCAAAGAATCTTGGATTTTGGAGCAAAGGAAGAAATCAGAAGATGAAAAGCTTTCAGAAGAAGAAGTATGTTTTATATATTAATTTAAAAAGAGTGCTTCTTTAAATAAAAATATTTTTAAGGTATAAGATAAAAGCTTTGATTTGAAAGGGACTAAATAACGTTTAGAATGGAATTTCACTTTCATAAAAATTCATTTAACTTTAAACCTTAATATTGGGGGGAAAAGAATATTTAACATGCAAGTTACAAAAGTGCACTGAAAGCTGCATACCTTCAGCCACGAAAGTCAAAAGCAGTTAATATTTGCTTATTTCTACCCACGAGAGCTGATAATTATTCTTGCTTTACTGCTGGTCTGACTCTAGTTTCCAGTTCAAAATCAGTATTTTTCGAATTGGAAATAAAACACATCTTAACTGATTTTAATACTACTTCACTGATTTAAATAACACTAATAATACACAATATATGAGGGCAAAAGTACGCAAACTGCATACTTTCTGCAGCGACCGCCGAAAGCATAGTTAACATCTGCTTATTTCTGCCCAGAGGATTTCTATTATTCTTTACTGCTGGTCTGACTCCAGTTTCCCGTTTCATATACTAGGACTGAAAATTAAGGCAAATCTTCACTGAGTTAGATAACACTTTTTCAATATTCTTTATTCCCTACCAAATAAAGGTATGTATAAAATTAAACAAGATTCGCTTAAATGTTGTGTAAGAGTATTCGGATATATCAACTGTTCAATTAATTAGCAAAGCTAAATACATTTAAAAATAGTTTAAGGAGAAATCACACAGAGTGTCATCAATGCTTAACACATTCTAGAGGATTTTTTAAGCATAATTGGGGATCGGTTCTTTGCTCCCCTAAGTACCTATTATTATACACAGGTGACGGTTTAGCTATCTCAACTATTGTCCAATGAATTCTCAGCAGTAGTATAACTTATAATATAACTTAATCAAAGTAAGGAAACAATATAGTACTGAAATAGAGTATGTCAGTACTGATTCTAAAGCCAGAGGGAAAGTTGAATGAGAAGCAAAAACAAAAATTAGAAATTTTCGTGGAATCAATATTTATTAAAGTGATTTCAAATGCCCACTGTCCCTCTTATCGATCGATCAGGAAAATCAATCCATGAAAAAATTAATACATTTAGGTGTTAGGTACCCATTGTCTTAACTACCAAATTCGCCCGATGTTAAGCTGTCGCGTTTTTATTTATTCTGATTGCCATAAGATTTTCCAAATGGCAAATAATTTAAAATTTGTAACGCAATGTATGTATCATATCTGCATCTCCAAAAATTTTGCTCAAAAAGGAGTTGATTTTTTCGATCCGAAATTTGAAATTTTGAGCACTAGTTCGCACAAATATTCCTGATAACAAAAAAAATAACAATACTAGTTGGACCATTAGAGCTTATGGTAGTCATTCATATTCCGGTCCGGAGAAGACGGGGTTTGATCCTCTTTTCAGCTAAGACCCACAGAGTACATGCGACAAAGGTGCTCGTAAAATTTAGGAAATTAAAAGTTCTGTGGTCGTTCATTGATAAGTACCATGAGTACAGTAATCTGGGGAAAAAATCCCATCCCTTTTCATATCTACGTCAATAACTGTGGCCTCACTAATGAATGGTGCTTCCATTTATCCGATAGATTCCTGAGCTAAGTCGTACTTTCATTCTTGCGGTGCTCTCTTGTTAAACGAAGGACTCACCTTCTTGACTTAATTAGCTAAGACCAATAGCGGGTGTTCTTGGCTCTTCCAATAGTCATAAGAAACAATGAGCAGCATCTTTGGTTAAAAATAAGAATTCGTTAAATATTTATCTGTTTCAATTCAACATAAACAAACTACAATAATTTCCGGTCACCTAATATTATTTAAATTTTTCTACTATTTACATCATTCTAACATTTTTTTGTCAAGAATTTGTTTTAGTTGAAGATTTGAGCTCTTCATAAACGTTATTTGTCACAGAAATTATAATAAAAATTTGAATTTTTCAAAACTTCTAGAATATTTTCCTAAAAGAAATTATGATTTTTTTTAACTACAGGCATACCTTGTGAGTGAAGAAGCAGCTCCACAGCAAGTGAATCTGGTGTTATCTGTGAAAGATGCTTTCAGTACTCTTCCTCGAATACTCAAGATTATTCAAGTTTGTATCCTACTCTGATGAATCAAATCTATATATAATACACGGTGGTTATAATTGAAATTCCACTTCAAAATGGTCATAAAAGAAAAACTACTGGACCAAATGTAATCAAACTTAGTAATATTTTGAAGGAGGTCATGGAAACTCATTTTCCTCCAAAAAAAGGGCAAAAACTCTCCCCCGAGGGTTATTGCATGAAATGTCGCATTGTTAAGCGAAATAAGGCATGAACATATTGGTTTAAAATGTGATTTCTGAAAAGCATTACAAAGCATCTTCAATGCATTACAAAGCATCTTCAATGCATCGTTCACCATTTTTCGAAAGCAAGTTAAATCGTATTACTTTATTATCAACAGTAGCTCTTAGCATGTCAGTAGGAATGTCGTCTAGTTCTCCATTGTTGCTTCCTCCACTACTAATGCAGCAATGTCCTCGGTTTCCACAGAAGCAGGTTTCCTTTCCTTCCCTGATGCAGCAGTAAAATAAGTTAGATTCCTACCCCTATTTTGCTAAAAAAAAATATATTGCCTACAGCACTATTTCTTCCCTGGAGGTGAGTTTTTGAACTTTTTTTTGGTGGAAAACAAATGTCCTTTTAAACTATTACTAAGCTCAATAATATTAAGTCGAGCAATTTCCCTTTTATGACCATTTTGAAATAGAACTTTAATTATACCCAGCTGAAAATAAATTGCATTTTTCTTCAGAATTGAAGTAATTTCGAAATTATTCTGGAATTAACTGCTGATTTTCTGTAGCTCAATCTTAACTGTAAAAACACTTCAGTTATTTTGCAGCTAATGCGGAGTAATTTATCAGTAATTTATTTCAGAAAAGTAATTAATCAGTAATTTATTTCAGAAAAGTAATTTATTCAGAAAATCTATTGTCTGCAAAATTACTGTAGTTTTAGTGAGGGCGCTTTAAAATCATAAATTTTAAAAAAATATGAAGCTTTAAATCCATAGTTAGGCTGCAGTGAATTTGAATTATACAATCATTGCTCCAGAAGTATATTTTCTGATGTATCTACTGAAAAACAGTTATTTTGTGTTGTTGCAAAATGTAGAGTGAGAGAGTCTTCCGCCAATCGAGTTGACTTTGATGTCCTCGATTTTGCTTTCCTCGTTAGTAAATCTTTAACTTTCTATAATGTTTTCGTTTTTCTATCGTTTTTTTAATGATATATTAGTTTCTGATTATTAATTTCGTATGTTTAGGTAAAGATTCTAAACACATATATTAAGGGAGGAGATAGCGCACACTGCCAATATTTAGAAAAGAAAAATGCATAAAATACATATAATTATTTTATAATTTCGAAGTGTCGAAAATCACCCGGTAAAAGTAAGCCATACACAAATTCATGATTCTAAATTGATTCACTCCAACTTTTAGACTACCTCCGGACACTGGTCATGCGGTGTAGCCCATAAAAATTATTTTCCTTACTTCCCGTAGTGGACTGATTGTTAAGACACGGTTCCCACCAGATCACCGAAGTCAAGCATCATTGGCTGTGGTCAGTGTGCTGGTGGATGACCACTTGAATCAGTCTGCATAGGGACCGAGGGTGTGCGGTATTGGTCCTCGTTAAATTGTTCTTCATTAAAGTGCTCGATTTCGAGTGCAGGTCTTTGGGCTACCGAAGCGGGGGTGCCATCCTCCCTGCAGATGATCAAAATTGTGTTGGCATGTCTTCGAATCATCCACAGGGATGTTTCCCTGACCTTCGCCAATAGTCCATTGTGCAGCTCTAGTGCGATGTAAATGATCTGCAACAGCAACATCCTTATTATTAAGTATATGTCCATAATTTATATCTTGCAGCTTTATTTAAAGAAAAATTAATTACATTGAAACTCTACATCACGCTCTTATAAATTATCTATCTATATTTTTCTAAGTCAAATTAAACAAAAGCAGCATGCACAAATTAGATTAGAACAAGTAAAATCAACATCCATATTATAGGGGGGACGTCACCAAGTTTACAATTGCAAAGGTATATGAAACCACGTGTTTCTTTTGTTGGTACTTTTGCTCCTAAAAACTTGTGTCTATGTACCTAAATAATGTAAAGAAGAAATTTCAATATCAAAAATGTTAATGGGTTACATACTACATGTATAACTAACTACTTTTTAATGAGATAAGCTAATAAATCATAAATCGTTTAATATTATAAATCTATAATCATAAAATTTCGATATAATCATAAATTGAATAATCGTTTATAACTTAAAGGAATTCTATACATATAAGAAACAGTTCAAAAATAGAACTTTCATACAAAAAAATAATTCAAGTTTTTGAACTATAAATACTATAGACTTGTATTTGGTTTCATTTAGTCAAGCGAATAAAATACATTGCAACAATACCTTATTTTCATAGATAAAAATATCGCATGCTTAATCAGGCATTAGTACAAAATTGCAATTTTTTTGTACGTAAAATCCTTATGACTAACAATTTACTGATTACTATAGTCTTTTGTTTGATCTCTTTACAATCAACGTAAAAATGTACAGCGAAAACAATATTCCATTTACTAAATGGCATTTTTAAGTTTCTCCTCTTTTTAACCCATATTTTAACGTTTTGCCAAACCCCTCACAAGATTTTAAGAGATTTTCATATGAAACCATAACCACCATATACAAATTCCAATAGGTACTGATTTGTTATTTTGACTGTCAACTTCAAACTCTGACACTTACGCTGTAAAATGCATTGCATATAGCATTTCTTTTGTTTGCCTTGCAGTCTTGTCAAAGCAGTATACTTCATTTTGAAAGTCGGGCGTCGAAGAAAGAAAACTATGAATTCGACGTTTTGATCCGTCTGGATACGACTAAAGATAAGATGCTGAATATCATAAAAGCACTGAAAGCAAACTCAGTCCAAGACATCAGTATTTTACTTGAAGAAAAAATTAGCATCAAAGGTAATAGTAACTTTTAATGTTGATCTTTGTAATCAGCTGTTTCAAAACAAATTTCACTTTTAATAATTTATATTGTTTTAATTTATATTGTAAAACTTATGTTAGATCCATGGTTCCCGAGGCACATCAGTGATTTAGATTTTTGCACTCACGTACTAAGCAAGTTTGAACCTGAGTTGGATCATGACCATCCAGTAAGAATCACATTTCTTTTTTTTTCTTCTTTTTTCGGTGTAATACTTGGTAATTGGTGGATGTCAAATGTGTCGGATCACAAAATTCTGGGGATACTGAATTGGAGATTGATCGTTCTCTGGTTTAGGTCAAAATTACGATAGGTGGATGAATGGATGGATGTATAAATGGGTCCACCCTAAAAACGGACACTGAAGTGTGCGTGGCTGAAGTCGTATTCTTGGCCATAGATGGCGTCACCGAAAAATAAGAAGCACACCCTCTGCCTTAAATTAGCTTGGGTTTACTAAGAAGGCTTGCTGGTATTGGCAAGTGACATTAGGGACAACAAACACCATGATATATTTCTTGAATTACAGGTCAAAGCAAAAATTAAAACAGCAAAGCAGGTATATAAAACGAATTATTGGATGAAAGAAAGATTAGGAAAGAAAGAATCATTAATGTAGGATCCATATATACAGTAATTCCAGAAACAAAATCAATTTGCAAGTAAAGTTTGCAAGCAAGTTCTAATACAGAGATAATATGAAGAAGAATTCGAACTAGGAACCCGGTTCGCAACGACATAGTTCTGACGTAAAATATCCTCAATGGTAGACGGATCATAGGTAAGAGTTCTCTTGCCTTCAGACTAACTGTGGGCGGTTTTCATGGTTTTTCCTTTCCATGTAATGTAAATGCTGGTTAGTTCTATCAAAATTCCTCCGCGAAAGCAAACTCTCCCAATACTTGATCCAAGAGTTCCCTTGTTTTCTAGATTGAGTTCAAAATACAAGGTTACGGAGTTTACCTTGGTAGTCGTAAACTCAAAATTGCATCGGCTGTTTAATGACGGTTCCAGAATGTAGTTTACAGATATTAAAAATTTAAAGTATAAATACTCTCATTACACGAGTAAAAATATATATATTCATTTGTTGTTGTTAATTTACGTCGCATATATATTCATATTTTAACTACAAACTTTTGTTTCTAATGTATATCAGCATTGAAGACAACACCAAACTATTGCCAACTTCAAATCTAAGCAATCTACAAACAATTCAAGTGTTAAAAATCTACGAACGATATCTAATGTTAGGCAACATAGGTATTTTTGGAAGCGAAAATATTTAATATATAGTATGAATGCGCATGAGCTTTTCGTAAACTTTTCCCGTTATAAGTGTTTAGATTTAAATTTTATATGAAACCTTGATTTGATATGTGTTCCTTCATGAACGAGTTTCTTCACACTATTTACTGCGGTATTCTTCATCAAATTCGAAGAGATAGAAAACGACAGTTTCTTATAGTTTAGGGACATTGGGTCTCAAACACAATCCTCAGTTGCTGGAAGAGGTTGCAAATATACGTTATAGTCAATTTTACATTTTTAATCAATCAAACGTGGGGTCTCAAATGTTCTCCTCAGAAGCTGGTTGGAAGTGGTTGTAATTATACGTTAAATATTCAATTTTACAGTTTCACTCTGTCAAACATGGGCTCGAAAACGCTCTCCTCAGCTGCAGGAAGTGGTTGCAATTGTACGCAATACATTACTTTGAAAACAATTTGTAATTTCATACAGTTAGTGGTTCCTAATGCTTCACAGAGGCAATCTTTAACCTCTCTCACTTTTTCGTAATCGGTAGATTTTAAAGTGTATCTTTGAAGTGATGCAATAAAGAGAATCCACGTGGTGTAAGGTTTGAGGATCTTAGTAGCTATGCAAATATGGGTAAATCACTTGTCATCCACACGTCATTAGATACTGTTTATGACATACATAATATACATACATTTGTGCAGTATTAGAATACCTTGATGGTATAAAATTACAAAATGTGTGGAATAAACATGTTTACGGATTTTAGAAGTTTGGCCTGTAACCAAAGGATTAAGGATAAAAAAATAATAACTGAAAGAAACTTTGATATTTTTTTTTTCAAATTTTCTGTATTGATCTTTGTTACGTGTGTATTAGTTTCGAAAATGTAAGTATTTAAAAATACTTAAAAATTATAAATATTTCCTATCGTTCATTTTAATCGAGTTCTACATAAATGCTCGAAATATTTGCTCTCATTGTAATATGTAATCGTGCACTATACTAAACTGCAATGTTTCTTGACAATGGAGAAATATGCTGAGGGCAAACGAAGAAAATAGTTCCCGGCGCGATGTCTGTATTTCGAGGTAAATTACGCATTTCACAATAGAAATATGATAAGTTATCTTAACCCACACATATATAGCGTTAATTTGCTATAATTTTCTTAAAATTTTATATATTTTCAAATTTACGAGCGGCGCATCGCGGAATGGTATCTTTATTTAGTTATATTTCTTCTATATAACGACTGAACTTATTTCTCCTTCTTCCTCCGCCAGCCGTGACGTCATTGTCAAGAAACTTTGCATTCTAGTATAGACAAATAAATGCTTTTACTACACAAAAAAATATGTGCTAATCTTGTACTACACAAATAAATACTTAATCCTGTCATTCATTTGTGCTTATCCTGTAATAAACTATTAATTACCATTATTTTTATACTCGAAGTTTTTGCTCTTATTATTACATGTAGTTTCAAAAATATAAATATTTAAAATCCGGTCTCTTATTTTACCACATTCTGCACAGAAAATGCTCCAATGTTTGCGCTCATTGCAATATGTATATTAGTTTCGAAAATATAAATAATTTAAATCCGGTTCTTCATCTAGGCTAATCTTGTACTTCAGAAATAAATACTTGAAATTTTTGCTCTTATTATAACATATATATTAGTTTCGAAAATACAAATATTTCAAATCTGGTCACTGTAGTAAATGCTTAAAGTTTTTGCTCTCATTATTACATGTAATTTTGAAGACATAAATATTTAAACTCGACCATTCATTCGTGCTAATTTTGTACTACACAGATGATGATCGAAGTTTTTACTCCTTTTGCTCTCATTATTACATGAATATTAGTTCGTAAATAGCATAAATATTTAAAATTAACCCATTCAATTGTGTTGGCCCAAGTACTACACAAAAAACCTTGAAGTTCTTGCCGCATATTCTCAAACAGACATTCACACATTCTCAAACATAAAACTCCCCCTGTTGGCTTTGGATAGTGTTAGCCAAGTTCCAAATAATTTCGTATTTATTTTTAGGCTACTTGCATTACCCTTACATTTTGGTGACTTTATTTTGAAGCCCACTGTATAATAATTGTTTTTAGGGGTTTTCTGATGTCGCCTATCGAGCAAGAAGAAAGGAAATAGCAGAGATAGCTTTCTTTTACAAGCAGTATGTCAATCTTGATATTTTTAGAACTAAAAAATTCATTATACGTTTGAATAATCAACCAAATCGAAGATAAATACTGATTTTGCAGAAATTCGAGAAATTTTAGAATTTTTTTTTAACTTAAGTAAAACAAAATATTTTAACTTGTGTTTTGATACAGCTTCCTGCCTTAAAATAAAAATACTATATTATTAATATTTGTGTAAACTATCAAAATTTTAACACTTCCTTCAAATAAAAAGGATTGCAGTCACCTTTTGTGGTATTTTACAAAATGTAGTGACGCATTTTTTATTCAGATGAATCACCTAAATTATTTTTTTTAAGCTAAAAGTAGTTCTTTTTTAATAAGTATTTTTGGCTTTAAAAATTTTCTTTTTTAGTTAAAAAAATATTTTTAATTAATTAAAATAAAGTTAAAAAATTAAATATCTTTTTTAAGATTTTTTACCATGATTATTAAAACATTATGAGAATAAATTTAATTATTTTAAATATACTCACAATTGTTTTACATATCTTTACATTCAATCACTACTCTTATTTTAACAATTGCTTAAAATTAAATATTCTTCTTTTACTCTAGTGGTGAAAAAATACCAACAGTCAAATACAATGAAATTGAAACTCGTACTTGGTAAGTAATTGTCTGCACATTTCACTTTTAAACTACTTGTAATTAATTTATGAGATTGGTTAATATCGAAGCACAGCAGAAACTTTAAACATCCCTTTCTGAATAACTAATATTGTCTTGAACAATCTGTGACTATTATATACTGTTCTTATTTTGTTGTGCACTCCATACTTTATCTCAAATCAAAGTTGTGCTGAAATTTATTATCTTAGTAGCTCTAAGAAACAATGTAAAAAGATAAAATCACAGCTTTGCATAAAAGTCAGAATCTTTCAAGTTTTTTAGAGTATTTACGTTATACACTGGAAGTTTTGAAATCACGTTGCTTGAAGATTGTTTTTAAAATCTTTGTCAAAAAAGTCAAATTTTATACACAAAACCAGGTCACCAACTGAGACAGGAAAAAAATTTGCAACTCTTAATAGTTGAATCCCTATTATAGATTGCGAGATCATAAATATAAAAACGAGCTTAACTACCTGATGAAATTTATTTGTGTTAATGAAGATCATTTGCTTTCACCTCTTTTCAGCTTTCTCATGCAATCAAACAGATTTTGATCCCGTTTTATTTATCTGTAATCTGTTCCTCATTTCTGTTCCTCATTTCACATTCATGTTTATCTGTTCCTCATTTGATTTCCCTACTTGATAATTTATTATGTATACAATTTGTATTTAAATTTTAGCAAATATTTTTAAAATATACATTAAAGAAAGTGATCATAAAACATTAGGTAATATTAAATTTTGCGAGTACACTGTGAAAAAATTCCGGATCAAATTACGGTATAAAGTACCGGCACTTTAGGTGCACCATTTGTAAAATCCATTTTTACCGTAAAATATTATGCAGTAATTTTTACATTAATAGTTATTTAATTTGAGTGATTCAGAGATTTTACGGTAATTATTACGGTACATCAGATTTCTTGATTTGTAACATGCTTCGGTAAAAATAGATTTTACTGTAAAAAGTACCGGTACTCTGAGTGCTGGTACTTCTTACCGTAGTTTGGTACGGAGTTTTTTACAGTGTACTTGATTAAAAAGAATACGTTACAAAAGCACATGAGTCAATAATGCTATTCTCAAATTCAGTTTTGAATTTCTAATTGATTTTATGGCCAATAATATTTCATAAATTGTACAATCTTCAAATTGATATATATTTCCATTTTTTATTTGTGAGTTAACGTATAAAAGAGTTTTAGATAAGGTAAGTTTTCTTAGTAAATATTTACTAAGCACTTTAATATTTTCAAATGTCATTTTCAGATAATAATCAAACGCGTGCTCCATTATTTTTTAAGTGCTTGCATATTTTTCAGGGGAGTCGTGTTTCAAAATTTGAAGCTTTATTTGCCAACACATGCTTGCCAACAATATTTGGATGTGTTTTCAGTCTTGGAAAAGGAATGTGGATACAGAGAAGACAACATTCCACAACTAGAAGACGTATCAAACTTTCTGAAAAGTATACATACTTTACGTACAGAATTTTAATACTATATGTTCTATAAATACACATTTACATAATGTCGAGCAACGCTATGTTCATACAAGATATCCTAACAAGCACGAAAAATTCTAATATCAATTAAAATACAGATTTTTTAACACCACGCTAAAGTTTTTATTTATTCGCATATTATTAGACAGGTAACACTTTTTTTTGGTACAACACATCCGATAAATGATACCTCTGTTTTTCTAGCATAATGGTCTTATGCAAAAAGAATAAATTGTGTAAGTAATTAATCGATTGCTCATTACTTCTCCTATTTCACTGAGATAGAACATACACTCTTTTTTTGTGAACTTATAAAGTTTCAACTTAGAAAGGTAATGGATATAAGACTTGGATTTTAAAAAACTTTGCAATAAGAAGTTCAAATTGCACGATCTTGGTCAACGGTTTTCGAATTGAAACTATCAGTTTACAAAATGGAACCCGAAGGTTTCGTGGAAGGTTTAAAAGGGACATTTTTTTAGGATTTTATGACTTTCTAATTAACAGTTGTTTTTATTTTCGAAACATTTATTAAATATATATTAAATTAGTGGTTTTGATGGCATTTATTAATTCTCTACTATATATTTATGTTCCGTTAAATTCTTTAACTGTTTAGCTAAAATGTTTGTGAAAAAAGAAAAGAAAAAATTTTAAAAAAGATTATAACCATATATTGAATGAATAATGAAAAATATGAATATTTATGAAAAATTGCCTTTGTATTTCGCATTGCATAAAAATGACCAAATTTAACAACGAAGAACTACCAATATTTCCTTCATAATCCTTCTGAACGCTTATTTTATTCCGACAAAAACCACATTTCAGCTAATTGTTTTTCAGTTTACGCATACCCAAAAATCAAATTAGACCTAAACTAAATGCCGCTTCAAATCTGTAAATTCAATTCTTTGACATAAAACTCGATTTTAAGTTTAGTATTGATAACAAGATAAAACGAAAAAGTTTTATTTTTCATTCTTCATTAAACATTTTTGAAATATTAATAAAATTTCAGCCATTAAATGTTTAAAAAATAAATATTACATTTTCAATCATTTAAAATTAACAAATAAATAAGAACATTTCAAATTATTTCATCAATTAAATATTTTTAAAATAGTAAACAACATTTCAGTTATTAAATATTTTCAAACTAATTAATAAAATTTCAATCATTAAATATTTTAAGAAATTTATATAATTTTATTTATAAAATATTTTCAAAATAATTAATAAAATTTCAGTCTTTATATATTTTCAAGATAATTAATAGTCTTTCATTGCTTAATATGTTGCCAGTTGTAAATGAAAATTATTTTTTAAGAACTCGCAGTTAGGCTAAAAGCCTAAAAACTTCAGGAACCGGTGATCTTGGTAAGAAATTCTTCACACAAAAATGAAAAATTGTTTGTCTATTAGGTTGATGTAAAATGGCCAAATGAAACCACCAAACCAAAGTCCATTTTAAATTATGGAATATCTACCAAACTTTTTGTTCCAGTGCAGCATCTTTACTTTATGATTAAAAAAATATTTTGGCATTAGAAAAACTGTTTCTTTCACTGCAATTACACTTCTCTTGGTTGTGATGTGCAAAATTCTAACTACTATTTAAAGCTATATATAATATGATTACCCAAACAATTTACATTGAATTTTAAATTTATTAGGGAATATTCTTCTTTCAGAGAGAACAGGCTTTCAAGTTCGACCAGCTGCTGGTTTGCTGACCGCTCGAGACTTTTTAGCGAGTCTTGCTTTTCGAGTTTTTCAATCCACTCAATATGTTCGACATGGTTCTTCGCCTGATCATTCACCTGAACCGTAAGACAAATATCGATTTATTTGTTTTTGCTCACAAATAAAGTGCCGGATAATATCCATGCCGAAGATATAAACGCCAAGCGATAAATCTTCACTTATTTAAATTTATACTTTTTATGTTATTTTTATTACTGTCTAGTGATTACGAAATGAGTCCTGGCACTAGACTCTTTCATGACTGTCGCGATTTCAGCAAATTTATTTTTAGGAAGGCTGTTATTCGACAACTCCATCGTCATATGAAATGGATAATTTCTTTACAAACAATATATTTCATAACTGCTGCAAGTTTGAAACAGTTACTCATCACTGTTACGTCAAGTTTAGCCTCTCTATACATCCTCACGCTTATTTTGAGAATGCCAATATAGAGAGCAGCCACAGTTTTGAGAAAATGAAAAGCATTTGTGGTCATACATAAGAACTCACTCCAATGCCGGATTATCTGGACTCATAAAAATGTGCAAAAAATAAAAATTAAGCAGTGAATTTAATAATTATCATCTAGAGGGAATATCATCAAATTGGTGATTTTTGAAAATGTTTAATAATTTTAGAAATATTTAAGTTATTTTTCCGTTCTGAAGTCCAGATATTTTTTAACGGCAAGATGATACATCTGGTTTAAAATTATTGCTTTGCTTCTAGTTTTAGACACTTAAACTGTGGCTTCTTTTTCATTTTCCTTGGCGAAAGATTTTCTAAAAGTCATGCTAAGTTACTTTGGTTTGGCGATTTATATGAATTAAAAATTATTTTCCACTTGGAGGCTGTTTTTAGCTTATATCNACTGTGGCTTCCTTTTTATTTTCCTTGGCGAAAGATTTTCTAAAAGTCATGCTAAGTTACTTTGGTTTGGCGATTGCACAGTGGGCCAGAAGACCATGATATTTGGCCAAAAGTCAAAAATTAAATTTCAACTAAAATATGTTTAGGCAGCTTTAATATTGCCCAAATTAAGTATTCATAATCATTCCAAACATTATAATTTACTTTTTGGACCAACAAGAGTACAATGTAGTAAAAAATATGTTAAAAAGATTTTTTTAATGTAACTTTTAAATTTATATTTCAGAAATATATATAGGAATTTCCCCTTTCTGTTTCATTTTTATCAGAGTAATTAGTCTGAAATTATAGTACAATTTTTCAATTTGTCGGATTAGTTAATACTCTTGACAAACTTACAGTTATATCTTATCATTTGACATTTTACAATGTTTGAATCACTTTCGAAACTTATCTCCAAAAAGTTCCACGAGGTAATTAGCTAAACTTTTTTTTGTTGTCTTCTTTGATGTTTCTTCTTCCGAAAAAACCTGCCCCATTTTGCCCATTTTTCAAAGGTGGACTAAATATACCAAAAAACAGAAACTATGTTTTTTTCATGTTTTCTCATTATTTTGTATTTAATTCTCGTTATTTTGTAATATTACCTAGGAAATATAATTTGCTTTTCATTTTTGATATAAAATTACGAAAATTATCATATTTTCATTGCTATACTTAATTATTTAAGCGTACTAGGTATGTATATTTTTTTTGCTCGCCATATTTCAGCCGCCATCTTGTTTTTTTTTTTTTTTTGGTATTTTTAGTATATTTCAAAATTTCAACTATTAATTCAAATTACCTGCACATGAAAACCCTAAATAAAAACCCCAAATTTTGAAACAAATTTTATCGAAATACTAATTTTGGCCACGAAACCTTGTATGTGGCCCACTGTGGATTGGTATGAATTAAAAATTATTTTCCACTTGGAGGCTGTTTTTAGCTTATATCTACCATTACAACTTCATGAAATTAGCTAGCCTTGTAACCTTACTGAGAGATTATCTTATGTTTGCCAGACAATAGAATACACTGTAAGTGCTTATTCTCTGACAGAAGTACACCATATTTTTGCGAAGAGTGCCACTATCTAAAATTTAAAGAAAATACCTGTGTCATTCCCAAAATACTAAAAATTGTACTTAAAAAAATTAAAATTATTCTATTTAGGAATTTAAGCGCATCTAACGAATTTTTTCATGTAAATCTGAGTATTGTAGATTTAAAAAACTAATATTATAAATATATTAAAAATGCAAATACAATTTTTATTGTTTGTAAAAACTTTAAAGGTTCAATGAGATATGTTATCGATAAAATAAAAATGAATAACTGGAAACAGATTTATTAAGAATTATTATCATTAATTATTACTCTAAATAATTTAGTGATCAGTACCTAATGTTGTGTTTGAATTTTAGTTTATAGTTAGATAGTAGTTTGGAATCTGATTAGAAAATTAGGTGCATTTCAATTAATTTTCAACAATATTTTGATTTCCTTATGTTCATGGCAGGAATTCATAAAAAAAGACAAAATTGTGCGTGAATTTTAATTTAAGATATTTTGAATTTTACCTTGACATTAGAAAATTAGATGTTCTAAATGCTTATCGATTGACTTTTAACAGTATTTTAATGTTATTATGTTCATAAAAGAAATTAAGAAAACCACTAGGCTTTCCCCATGTTGAATTGTCGTTCGAATGTAAAACAATGCCACTTTCTGACCTTTTTGTATTCAGTAGATTATGAGTTGAGTTTTCAAATATAGTTCAAATATAGTTCAGTTGAGTTTTCAAATATGGTTCCTAAGAGCAGTATCATTATTTAAGATCTATTTTCTAATTTCTAAATGAGTATCCGTGTTACACTGTGGCATATGTACAGTGCGCCAAAAAGAAAAATAAGAGAGAAAGAGAAAAACGTTCTTACCCGAATAACTTTTGATATAATGATCGAATCTTCATGTTTCAGGACTCAATCTTAATGGTTCAAGGAGGTGACATCCATATTTTAAGTTACGAAATCAGAGGGGAAGAAATTTATTTTTTCTGAATAAACATACCTTTTTTCGACCCATTCGGATTTCTGATCCCTAAAATATAGGGGGTAGTGACTACCCCCTCTACAGAATTTGGGAAATATGATCCCCATAGTTAGGTCATGAGAGCGATCTAAAGTTTGAACTCCTTCATGCTAATTTTACTTTTTCATATTTCACCATAGCTTGATAACTTTTTGAGCGAATTGAAAACATTTTGCACTCAATTATAAAATTCGTTTAACCAAAGACAATTCCATGCAAAAAATAAATTTTTGTAAATATTTATAATTTTTGATTATTTTATTTAGTAATAGTCGAAAAAATTTTGAATCATAATGAGTACACTTTTTTACGTAATTTTGAAAAATATAATTTTGCATAACAAATTACATTATTTGAGCGAAATCGGCTGAACAGTTCCTGAGAAATCGAATTTTAAATACCTGACTTTTTTGAAATTCAATTTCTCAGGTAATTTTAATCGATTCTGTTAAAATTTCGTATTTTATATTTAGGATTCTTTAGTACTTCAATTTGACTTACAGGTTTTTGCACTTTGGCAAAGTTATGGCTCCATAATGAAATGCAAATTATATAATTTAGGTGATATCTTGAAAAATACATTTCATATGGAAAAAATTAAAACAGACTTGTTTGGTATTTTCAAAAAACCTATTTAATGGAAAAACAATCAGAGCCCTAAATCTTGTGGAACTCTTAGGAGGTTAGTGTCGTTATAAATCATTTAAAATACCTAGCTGGTCTACTTTTGATTTTTGTTAGAGGGGAATGATATTTCTATTTTAAACAAGTAGTTACCCATTTTCTTCATTGTTCAATTACAGCGCCATCTGCAAGCTAATATGCGAAAATGTGTTCAGATCAAATTGCGGTAAATTTTTTCAAATAAATCCAAATCTGCAATTAAATTTTAGGGTTCATTTTTAAGATTTAAAAGTTACCCTGTAGTAGGGGTAAGCTTGGGGATTATTATTTTTTTTACCATTGAATAAATCCTTTGAAAACATTCCACTATACAGTTCAAAAAATATTCGATGAGTTTTTCTCGAAATATTTGACCACTTACTTACTTTTCAGTGTTTATATTTGTTGTTCTTTCATGCTTCACAATTTTATTACTAGACATTTTTTGTATATACATACGTAACTTATATATCCTTAGTGACTGCATTCATGAACTTCTGGGTCACATTCCAATGCTTGCTGATCCAAGTTTCGCCCAATTTTCACAAGAAATAGGTCTTGCATCGTTGGGTGCCGCTGACAGTGACATTGAAAAGTTTGCCACGGTCTGTCTTAATTATTATTTCAAATCTAATATAAATAAATATTGTTAAGTATTTCTCCTCTATATTCAAATGTATTATATTATAAATATTGTTAAATATTTCTCCATTTTACAGTCTTTTATATAAAAGCCAAAACGAAGCATTCGTCAAATGAGGTGGCTTGTTTCTATGTTAGTTTAATATATTTACAGAAAAAATAACTTTCGGTAAGATATTTAACAGAACTATTATAAAAAGACTAAGATAGTTTGAGATGGATTTTACTAACTTTTAAATTTTTATGAAGTTAATAAAGTTGCTCAAATTTTGCTGTATTTAGTATGAGATAATTTTTTTTATGATTATTCTTCTGTTTTATATTTTTTTCGATTACTCTAGCAATGAAATGTCCATACCTTTATCTATTTCACACTTAATGACTTGTATTTAGCTATCACAAAAGCATTTGATTTTTAATGTTTTTTTTAAAGTAATTTAATTGGGAGCTAAATAAATAAAAAATTATTGCTTAGAGCTTTAAAACATTTAACTTGTAGATATGTAAAAAATAGTTAACTAGTTTGACAAACTAGCTTTATTTTTAATTGAATCTAAAATCAAATGCCTTAAATATTATCTTATATTTAAAATAATACTTTTTAGCTGATCTAATACTTTCTAGCTCTTTCATTAAATAATGCGCTCACTGTATTGATGTCTGAAATATTAAAAAAATCACACTTATTTTTTTTACACCTTCATTAAATGCTCTAATTTTCATTGCGCGTACACAAAGCAAAATAATTTTCTTTTCGTCCCCCATCTTTAACTTTTTACTCTAATCCTATCTTACTTATATATGAGAACATAAAATTAATATGATTATATTTTCTATGAGATGCTCAGATTATATTTATATTTTAATAATTAATTTTTTGCCAAACTTGAAATTTTGCATCTGATCTTATAAAAAAATATTTAACACGAATTCGCAGAATCAAATCCGTATTCAACTATATAACATCGACAGTTTATTTAGTTTCATTAATCCAAAAGAAATATCAACATATTGCTTTGTAAAATCTAAAAAAATGTTTGAATATTCTAAAGCTTTAAACTACTATAATTTTAAATTATATTAATACATTAGCTATAATGGAGCTAGTTTGACGGGAAAAGTTTTATTTTTTCTAATCTTGCAAGTGAAATATTATTTCTGATTTACTTTTATCACTGAAAATGAGATTCCTGAAATGATCGGACTAATATTTTAGAAGTTATAAAAGTTTGAAATACAAGAAGTGCAAATTTGCACTTGTACCTTTTTACACATCTGATTTCGCTACCTAAGGTAGTTAATTATTACTTCATATGTATTTTTTCTCGCTAAATCAAATGAATTTATTAAAAAGTCAATCGAGCAAATATTTCAAAATTTGCTTGAGTTATTATGTATAAAATAAGTATTACTTTTGACAAGTACCTATTTCTACACTCTATGTTGCTATTCAGGAATTATCTGAACATGCAAAGTGTATTTTCGGGTGTGACTTTTCACGTTAAACTGAATGAGGCCAATTTCAAGACATTAAGATTAATAATTTAGAAGGTATAAGTTAGATTAATTTAATAAGTATGATAATGATAAGATTTTATGTAAAAAAAGTGTAATTTTGTACTTGTACTTATTTACGCATCTTTCATTGCTTTAAAGACAAGTAAGGTATTTTTCTTTATTGTTGTTGTTTCTAATATCACTTGCCACACGAGCAAGCTTGCTTGGTGAAACCGGGCAAATTTAAGGCAGAGTGTGCGTTTTTTTTTTTACAGTGGCGCCATCCTATGGCCAAGAATTCGTCTTCAGCCACACACACACGTAACAGCCCGTTTTATAGGGCGGACCCATTGACACATCCATTCATTCATCCACAGATCACAATTTTGACCTGAATCAGAGAATGATTGATCTCCAATCCAGTATCCCCAGAGGTATTGATTTGTTATGGGAACGCGGAGGACTTTACGACTCGACAGATTTAACGTGCATCAGTCACAATTTACCACACGGGGAGTCTTCGGCCGGCGGGGTTTGAACCATGAAATCTAGGACATGAACACAGCGCCCCACCGACCAAAATTTTTCTTTGTGATCTTTATCGCTTAATCTAATGAGATCAAATGCGAATAAAAATAGCTATATTTAAAAAGTTAAAATGTTTTTTTCTTTTTTTTCTGTTAAAAAAAGTTTTATTTTTGAATTCAACTTCTTAAGAAGAGAATTCCTATAACTTCAAAACTCTTAATCCTATCAACTTTAACATTATCTCATTCAACTCAGTATAAAATATTTCTTCAGAAAAGACCTCAGATAACAAAGTAAGAAATATTATAAGTCTTGACAAAAATAGAACATTTTATGTAAAAAAAAAGCTTTTTTTTTAACTACTTCATTGACTTGCGAATAGTCTCATTCGAATCACCGTAAAAACAGCATAGGAACGTGAGAATGGGAGTTGAATCCTGTCATTCGAGTGCTCCTCGTGTAGTAAATGGTGACTGGTGCGCACTAAATATGTCGGGTCACAATGTCCCCTATGTTCCCATAACAAATTATACCTCTGGGAGTACTGAATTAGTGACTGATCGTTATCTGGTCGAAGTCAAAATTACAATCTGCAGATGAAAGAACAGATGTATAAATGGGTCCACCCTGTAAACGGGTGTGACGTGTGGATATGGCAGAAGTTGAATTCTTGGCCATAGATGGCGGCCCTGGAAAACAAGGAAAATCTCACCCCTCTCTTTAATGGCCTACGGCCACAAGAACAACAACATAGAAAGTCATTTCTCACTTGTTTGGATGGTAATACCGGATGCCTAAATTGGTACTAATACAAATTTGTACTTTTTTGTTCTTGAAAGCCTTATAACTTCTAAACTTTTTGTCTGATTGTTTCAAAAATTTTTCATTTCTTTATTGATCCTAATGAATTCAGCGTAAAAAAATAAATCTATAACACTTGCCTGTTTAGAAAGAATACAATTCTCATCTCAATTTATCCCCATTTTCTTTTCAAAAAAGGGGAAAGCATACAGAAGAAAATAGTATTATTATAAGAATATAACAAAGCTTTTCGTCAATAAATATCTTCAACATTAATTTTTCGTAGAAACACCCCTTTTTTTCTTCACTCTCTATAAATGCTAAACTATATGAACTTATAATTAATCTAAGGTTCGAGTGTCATAAATTCTTTCAGCATTATTGATCATAGAATGATAATTATTTATGAAACATGGTGATTTTTAAGACACATCAGAAAGTTTCAATGGAAATATATTTTTAAAAAAATATTTAATTTTATTTGTCAATTTTAAATTCTAACAATATTTTTTAAAATCTTTATTTCAGCTCTACTGGTTCACAGTAGAATTCGGTCTATGTAAGCAAAATGGCAAGACTAAGGCATATGGCGCTGGTTTGCTATCTTCTTACGGAGAGTTACAGGTAAAAAATTGATAAAGCATTTATTAAACTTATTAACATTTTTATCTCACTATTTTCTAATTAAACTAAATTCAATACCAAAAAAGTTAATTGAAGTGACATTACATTAATGTTTCGCTTTAAAATGCTTTTTATCAAAAGATAACTGATGCACGTTAAATCTGTCGAGTCGCAAAAGTCCTCCAAGTTCCCATAACAAATCAAAGCCTCTGGGGGTACTGGATTGGAGATCGATCGCTCTCTGATTCAGGTCACAATTACGATCTGTGGATGAATGAATGGATGTATGAATAGGTCCGTCCTATAAATGGGAGCGACGTATGGTGTGGCAGAAGTCGAATTCTTCGCCATAGATGACGCCACTGGAAAACAGGAACAATCGCACCCTCTCTGCGAAAACAGACATACGTCAAAAACAACAACAACATCAAAAGATAATCAAATAAGAAAAAATTTATAATGGGTACAAAACAAAAATGGATAATACATTTATTATTTTTAGTATTTCATAACTTATGTTATCATTTCTTAATTGTCTTAAGTTTTGTTTCCATACTTTTATTTCTAATGATGTTATCCCTTACTCGTTCCCTTGAATTAGTTTCGGGGTTTTTTATCGATTCAAAAAGATGAAGAATTATAAAATTTCATTGCAATCAACAAACATCTATATATTAAGTAATATGTAAATATTAAATCAGAAATTTTAACTATTGGATGATAAATTTCAGATAGTTCTCAAGTAAATCTAGGATCATTTTTATAGAACTAATCAATAAGCGCGAAGTATTTTTAACTTAAAAATCATCTTTGCTTGCGTTATAAATGAATCCTCTTCTTCTGTAGCTCTACAACCCTTTGTGTGCTCTGGCTTGTTTTGCAATTCTACTCCATATAGCCATCTGTTTTGACTTCTTCCTCCACCAACGGAACTTCATTATTTCCAAATCGTCAATATGTCCTTCCAACTTTTCCTTGGACGGCCTCTGGGTCTGGTTCCCATAGATGTCCAGTTGATGATCTTTTTCAATCTTTTCAATTATGATGATGATTTTTTTCAATTATTGTCTGTCCTCTCTATGTGTCCAAGCCATGGGAAGCGCTGGGATTTGATAAAGTGAACAATAATTTTTCTATTTTTGATTTTCTCAATTTCTAGGTTCTCTCTGTTCGACCTAATCCTACATTCGCCTCTATCATTCATAGGTCCTATTGTTCTCCTAAGGACCTTTCGTTCAAACACCCAGCAAGCCATTTTCATCTTTTTAGGTCATTGTCCAGGTTTCACTGCCATATGTCACAATTGGTCAAATAATAGTTTTATAATGACGCATTTTTAAAAAATTTGTAAACAATTTATTTTTTAAAAGGTAACCGTATTAAAAGTATGACCGATTTCCGACAAAATATTTTGCATGTATTTCTTTGGAGTCATGTTGATGGAGTCAAGGTGGGTGAAAATATGCACTCTTTCAGAATCAAAATTATCTACAGCAAGTTTTGATATCTGATTATTTGCAGTTTTAGTTTCTTACGTAATAAATTGACATCTTTAAAAAAAGTAGACTGATACTATGTTTATTTTATATAATATCTTTTTTATTCAATTTTATAATAATCAGCATGTAATAAAGTTCTTTTTCCTATTTCAGCATTCGCTGTCCAATAAGCCAGAACATCGGATATTTGATCCTGAAAAAGCAGCGGTACAGCCATACCAAGACCAGGATTACCAAGACATTTACTACGTAGCTGAATCCTTTGAAGACGTTAAAGAAAAGTTTAAGTTAGTGTGGTTTTGATAGCTTTTAAATAAAATCTGAACTTAAAAATCGTTAAAATTTAACTTTTTAAAAATTGTAAAGGAACTTTTTTACAATTCACACTAAAAAGTTACAGATGAAAATATAAAGATATTGTTATGAAATCCTTTCACCTTTTCTAAGATCACAATTAGTAAACTTACCAATTAATCAGTTAAAATGTCAGATTACCACACACAATAAAAATGTCTATGGTGTTAAATGCCAAATCACAATTAAAATGTCTACGGTAAACTATTTCACCATTTTTAATTTGTGCTACAATCTGTGAATAACTTCTGAAAATTAATTTTAACTAATAAGCCATATGAATTTCTATTCTTACATAAATCTCAATCGCAAAAGTATTTTAATATATCATTACTAGAGTTAAATGGTTTGTTAAAGGGTTGAGTTTGTCAGTGAGCTATAAATTCTTCGACGATTGAATGAGCCAAAATCCGATCTTTGGTAAGATTTAATGAGTCTATAAGGAGTAATTCCTAATCAACTTCGATAAACACATGATTTTGCTCTAGCAGGCCACAAGGATTTGGGGAAAGCCACTTCAGATTTATGCGTGAATTGTGAAAGTAGAGTCACGGAGGAATGGTGATGCCATCTATACGGGTGGTTTTTTGAGTTGAATCGCACATTCAATCTATTTGTGCTCTCCAATTCTTTCCGTTTGCGAAGTATGCTAAGGATTAAAAATAAAATTTTTACAATTTGGTTCCACACAGTTTAAATAACATTTTGAGCGTTTTCATTGCTATCTTGTCTGCTATGAAGCAAAATTGATGCTGGCTGCGTAAAAGTGGTGCCACATAGCATGCCTCTGCTTACCAGTTGCCAGAAAGCGTTACTTATTTTGAATCTCATTACGGCTGCGTAAGCGCAACATTCTAGTCAGCGTTGATCCAAAGTTGGGATCAATTAAGGAATTTTATATTACCTCTCTTCACCATGCACAGATTCTTGTTTTTCCGGGCCAGGATAGCCTGGCTGGTAGGGCATTGGGCTGATGTCCGAGAAGTCACGAGTTCGACCCTCGCCGGTTGAAGACAAGTCACCTTCTTGCACACAAAAAAGGTGACTGGTGCACACTAAATCCATCGGAATCACTAAATCCTCCAAGTTTTCATAACAAATCAATAACTCAGGGTGTACTGGAATCGGGGATTAATCATGCTCTGGTTCAGGACAAAATTAGTGTTTGCAGATGGAGGAATGGTGTGTGAATATGTCCTCTCTGTAAAACTGGATGTGACGTATGTATGCTGTCTCCAGATCATCCTGAGGGATGTTTCCGAGACCGTCACCAATAGCCTATTGTGCAGCTCTAGTGCAACGTAAATAAAAGTACCAGTACCTATACTATCATTTTATTTAATATCATCGCTTGACTAACTGCATTTTTATCCTGATTGAGATCTCGATGAGGGTTCAAAATATGTTGAATTCCTCTATTGTATTAATATAAAGTGCTACAAATTTTGTTAGTCTATTGTAGCTTTTCAACATTTCTTTTAGGAGTTATGTCTCTCATAACCTGAAACGTGATTTCGAGGTGCACTATGATGCCTTCACACAGTCCATTAAAGTGCTGGACAGTGTTGAAAAGTTGCAACAGCTTTCGGACAGCCTCCGCACGGAAACAACTCGACTTACAAGCGCAATCAAGAAATTAAGTGTTTACTAAACTGCATACGAAGTTACCACTGTTAGTTTATAGAACAGTCAACTCTTTCAATAACAAAATAATCAATAACCTAGTTTATTAAATAAAGTACCCCTTTGGATTTATTTTTCTCAATTTTATGCATCCAAGGCTGTTTTTCGAAGGCTCTGTCGTAATATGAAATGATGCTTTTTTACGCATAATATGCTATTTTTATAATTGCTGTGGGTTTGCAACTGTTGCTCATGACTGTTAGATCAAGTTTAGCCTATCTAAAGCCAGCGCCGTCTACCCTTATTTTGAAAATGACTCAAAATGTCAATATGAAGAAAAGCTACCGTTTTCGGAAAATGAAAAACTTTGTGGTAAAATTTTTTCAACATTTAAAAACTTACTTCAATGATACATTACCTGGGTTCATAAAAATTTACCAAAGCTGAGAATAAAGCAGTGATTTTGATAATTTGTTATCTAGGTTGAAAAATGCCGCCAAATTGGCGATTTTTAGAAAAGTTTAACAACTTCTAAAATATTAAAGTTTTTTGTTTGTTCTAAAGCCCAGATAATTCATAACGGCACGATTATAAATAGCTTAAAATCATCGCATTGCTTCAAGTGTAAGGCAGTTGAACTATGGCTTTATTATTTCCTTTAGCGACAGAACTTCGAAAAACAGCGTTAAGAAATGAATAATCTCGGAGTAAATAGCATATGTGTGTATTCCCCTTTTTCATCCGTATGGATGAAATTTATTTAGAACTTCTTTCTTAATGAGTCTAAATGTTTTGACTAAATGTTCATCAAAAGATGTTTGAGATACTCATTGCTGTTTCAAGCACAATAAAACTCTTTATGTAGAAAAGAAAAACAAAGTGTATAATTTTTATTATCATATTAAAAACATGCATATTAAAATAGAGTTCAATAAAACAAGTACAAAGAAAATGAAACTGAGTTTCAAATTCAATGAATCATATTTGTAATAATTGAAATTTAAAAAATTTAATGAACATCCTGAATGGAAATACCATTATTTGAAGCTATTTCTACTTTTATCATACTGTTAATTAAAATTTCCATTCATTTCCCATTAATATAATGTTAATTAAAAATTTCCTATTTAAGCTACAAATGATTTTAATCAAATGATGTTCCAAAAATATCAAGAATAATTATTAAATATACAATAATATACTTCATAAAATTCAGAAGTCAAGCATGAAATAGGTATATTGGAATAAAATAAAAAATATTGAAATTTAAATAATGCTAAAGTAAAAGGAAAAATAATTTTATATAAAAAATAATTTTTGAGCAAACTAAGTAATGAGTCATTTCAAAAATACCAAAAAAATTTAAGTATTTTTACACAACATTGATTTTTTAATTTTATTTCATAACAATTCTTCAAAAAAAGTTTTTTTTAAATTTATTTTAAGTATAATTTTTAAAACTGCTTTTTAAGCATTTTAATTTTTTGCCCAGATTCAGAATAAAATGGTAGGATAAAGTGTATTATTTAAAATTGCTTTTAAGTAATAAGGCTCTAATTATTCCTGGCTACCTATAGATGGCCATATTAAGTTTTAATCATTGTGGGAAAAATTTAACTTTCTTCCATCTTGAATACACCATTTAATGTAAATTTACTTGAATTTATGTTTGACAAATATTAAAATGCATAACGATCATTTTCAAAAGAGTTCATTGCACGATGTATTTGATTTTTCAGAAATATATGTACAAACAATAGGACATATAAAGTTAAATGTTGGTGCTATTTATTATATTCCCGTTTGAAGTATGCATGTAGCCCATTTTAATTGTTTGTCATTTTCTGACATTTTTTTCAATGTTAAAAATCTTCAAATTTGTCATCAAAAGAGTTGATTGACAATAATTCTGTGTGCTTGAATATTATATTAATTGTTCAGAATTTTTCAAATTAAACATGAATGTTTCAGGTAAAAATACTTAAGTTTACATGATCTCTTTGCACAAAGAGGAGATAAAATTTAACTATTTGGTAAGGAAAAAAGACACTTCTGTATAACTCTTGCTCTAATGATTGGATTTTCATGAACTAAGTGCCATTCTAAATGGCCTAAATGTGTCGTACTTATAAAGCGATTTCGCTCGAAGCTTTTATTTTGTCATTTAAAAGTATTTATTATAAATTCATTTTATATAAATTATTATAAATTTATTAATTTATCTATTATAAATTTATTATAAATTTGTTTTCTATTTCTTACAATGAAACATTTTTCAACCATTATATGAAGTAAAAAAATTATTAAAAAATATTTTTGATACAGAATTCTTTCTGTATCAACAAATTTTATAATTATGTGTAGATATTTCTATATTCTTCTTACTTTTGCTCATTATACGACACTATTTAATTCAAGTCATGTTTTTATATATAATAATCAAATACAAAATAATGGAGAGATTTTATAGAGCACTACGGTTCTCCCTAACTCTTAGCGTTAGCGCAATTTTATCTTCACAGCGCATGCGCAAAAATTTCCCTTCAAATTGCAATGTCGCTAAGAGATAGAATATAAAGTTATTATTACGGTTAATGGTAGATAAAGTCTGAGGAAAATCTCTTTAATGTTTCAATATACCTGCATTTAAATTTTGTTCTCGTACTTCTGAAATACATGGTATATGTCTGAGATATTTGAATTCTGATAATTATTTAGAGACAGACTGATTCAGAAGAGCGGTTACGAGTTCAGAACATGGGTATAAAGCTCATCATGAGAATTGAGAATTCCAAGGTAAACCATGGTTGGAAATGTCATTGCACGCCGCTAAGGACGCTTTCCTATTATAAATTGGCTGCCCATGAGCAACTGAACCTGTACTTATTTAAATTATCTTAATTCTACATTAATTTCATAATTTCTAATAATATAGTCAAAAATTACATTCAAGTATATTCTAATATAGCTGCTTTATCACACATTACTGATTAAGCAATCAAGTTGACGAGTTCCGTAAGTTAACCGCCAAATCAATTAACTACGACCAAATTGCTAAATCTGAAGTATTTTCGACAACAATTATTAGAGAACATAAAACTAATGTAATTTCGCTAAATAGAAGTGCAAATTTTGGAGAGCAACCAGTAGGGAAGCCATAGCGTAAAATGCCATTTCCGTCAATGTTGCTAGTTTTCTAAACCCATACAATGTTAACTACATCCTCAACAAGTTTGTAACAGCTAAACTGAATTTTTTAGTAAAGCTTTATTAGATGCTGATTAGTCTTATAAATCTTACTTATTATTATAAATATAAGATAATTAAAAACAGTTAGAGATTTTGAAGCCAGTTGAGAAACCTATTTCATTAGTGACACAGTGACACTAATCGACTTTTGCTAGTTTGAACGGGTAACTTTTTGCGTTATGCATTTTCTTGCCTCCTCTTCGTAGAGTAAACGGGAGTGTAATTTACGCTCCCACTACAGACTATTATTTTTTTTCTTTCTTCTTTAGACCAATATTTGTTCTTAATAGCCTATATATTTCCAAAAAATATGAAAAACCAAATATAGATCTTGAATTTATTCTCTATTCATGCAGAGAGAACGTGTTAGTCTCTATATAACTTTAAGATACAATAATAATACACTGCTTGACAATTGCTAAGGAACAGTTACATTTTTCGGAATAATTAGTAATAGACGTTGATTGATGAAATAAAACTAAATACATAATTAGTAGAGTCAGTGTGCCTTTATTATTATGCAAAATATTTCAGATATCGACATATCGAAAAATAATAAAGCTAATAAAATAAAGTGCTCATTGGGTGGTTTCCAAACAGCCATGAAAAATGGCTCTTCAGTTGTTCCTTAGCAATTATCAAGCAGTGTAATTAATAAATGAAAGTTATGGAATTTTGTTGTTCATAACTTTCAGGATCATAATTAAATTATAATAATATATTATAATTTAGATTATACTATTATAATGTTAATAAGTTACAAAGCATATAACAGTTAATGTATAAATGTTATACTATTAATGGCATTGTTAATTAACAATACATGCATATTTTTACTTCATATTTATTCATTATTTGGATTTATGCTCCACATTTCATTCCTCAAACATATTTTATGTTTTTTATGTTAGCTATTTTTGTATTATGATGAACTAAACCTTTTTTTTTATTTATCGTGAACTTTTACAATAACGCAGAAAAACAACTATTTAATTTTTAAATCTTTCGAAATAGCTTTAAAACAAAAGCAAACATAAACTCCTCAATCGGTAAAATATGTTTAATAAAGTCAAAAAAAGGTGAATTTGAAACGCAATTCTGATTGATAATTATCTTCTAAAATTGTTAGCATTTTATTATGATTTAATAAATAGACATGCTTATTTTTAATTTCAAATAAACATATAGAATTTCAAATTATGTATATCGTAATGAATATTACGATTTTCCTAAATATGTTTTAATATATTTTGTGCGAGTCGTGGAATAACTGAATTATCTGGCTGTTTTCAAACTGCCTTCGTTATTTTATAATACGAAGCTATAATTGGAAAATTATCCAGAATTTTTAATCAGCCATACAATTTTTAGACTTATAGATTCACATTTTGTTCTTTGGTCCACTTTTTGGTTTATTGTTCAAACAGCTTGATTTATTTCAGCTATTTAGTAATAAGCACGCATAGTGATCCCTCATTGCAAATAGCCTTATTAATGGCTTGTTTATTGCATTAATTCTGAGTACATTTTCAAACATTTTTTAATTAGTCTATAGGAATAAATTTTGATTGCAATGAGCTTAAAATATAAGACACAGATGAAAAAAATACTAAGGAATTATACAATTATCGAGGCAACGCACTACAAAACACCAGCGTCATTTTCAAAGAGTCAGATTTTTCAATTAGCCAAAGACGTATGCATTTGATTCTATTTTCATATGCTCTTACATTTTTATTTAGTCGAATCCTATAATCTGAATATATAGAGCGTTCCAAAATTGCTTCCTTTAATATATATTTTCAGAATCCTTCCCTTAAATAAGGTTAAGAAAATTCCTATTTCTAATTTTAATTAACGTCCGATCAAGAAAAATGAAGAACGTTTTCTAAATGTGTCGAAAATTTC